AAAGCGTACGGGCAACTCTAATCCGAGCCTCAAATCCTAGTTATACTGCTACCATCTACGGTATCATTTTGTTTTTGAGAGTATGATCATATTGCCTCTATCGTGCACTTTCAGGATTGAGTTAAGCGAGGCTCATGAAGCCGACGCGTTACTTGTAGTTTACAATTACTAATATGTTTACTTGTTGCAGCCTCGGTTGGTACACGAATAAAGATGCCGAGAGCAGTACCAACTACAATACTTATGAATATACAAGTAGCAATGATGTAAAAACTACTCATTTTTTGACGTGAGCTTATCCATTCGGTTGCCAATTTCGGATCTGAATTAACACTATCTAGTCTGTAAAAAAGAAAATATTAATAATTTATGTTGAAGAAAATACAATTCAAAAAACTCAGGACCATGCGATTCTATTTCTGCTAGTTGGTCTAGTTTCACTGTTGCGTTAGTCGAGTCACTTCGATTTCTGTTCAAGTTATTATTGCTGTCGGAGTTTTTTCTAGTAGACGAGATATTGTGGGAGTCAACCCATGCTTCATAATATACACTTTTCCAGCAAAAATTATTACTCAATGATGAAACTTTTCTTGGATCCCAGTTACTGCTTCCGCTAATTAGGCTATTGGATGATTGGATCTGTGCGTCATTCCAGGAGCTTTGTTGAAATGTTGTATCATTGAGCAAAGTTATTTCTGGTGGTTTGCATATACTTTTTCTGCTCGTAGAAATTAAGCTTATCGGTTGAGCTTGGGAGGCACCCCAATTACTTTTCCCTACATGCGGAACACTATGAGATTGAGTAAGAGCGTTGGTATGCGTATTCGTGATGAATGCATTTTCAGGAAGAAATTGACGATAGTTCAAGGAAACGGACGAATTCCATTCTAGTGCGCTCTAAACGAAACTATTATCTGCTGCGCATCTGAATAGATATATATATATATATATATAAATTTACTTTACTACTACTCATGCTACCCTTGTGAAAAAGATGAATTCATAAAATTCAGTTAACGGATTTAGTTATATAACAAAAACAGAATGCTCTTCTTAGTTTTTATTGCACAGTGTTAGGTCCGTCGCCTTCGTTTATTTCTTTCAATCCTTCCTTTATACAAAAAACACAACTGAATTCAAAAACAAAAAGCAACAAAATATGTGCTTTTTCTTTCTCTCTCTCTTCCACCAGTCGGCTCCATCTCATCACTATGATAGAGGGATAAAGATGGCCGTCTTATGTCAGGAGATGTCTCTACTGACATAACACTTCCCCCCTCCAAAAAGAATTACAAAGGAACGATAAAATACGAGATAAACAATATAACAGAAGATTAATACGAAATAAAGCGTGTGAGTATGTGATGCGAGTAGATGAATTTCACGAAAGAAAAAAAACATTGTATCACGTTTAGGATGATGACCGAGAATATACACGTCTGATATTGTTTGAATGCACTTGAAATTGTTGTAAATGTTCATCTTCAACTATAAATGATACTGGTGAGAGAATTCGAATGATTCGAGCAGGACCAGTGTATCGAGCTTTAAGTTTATGTCGTCCAACGAAAATTTTCATCCATACAAGGTCACCTAGAACGAAAGTCGGGTGCGACTGATTTTTATCAAAACGAATTTTTGATAGTTCTTGTTGATGCATAATGTGTTGTTTTGCTTGTTTTAAAGCTGTATTTCTATATTGTATCACTTGGGCCCAATAATCATGTGGTTTACTGAAAACGAATGTAGTCGCAGGAGGGCTAAATGGGTGACGTTGTCGTCGTCTGAATGCTAATTGATATGGGCTAATTCCAGTTGAGCTATGTATCCCATTATTGTAAGCATAAACGATAGATGGTAAAATAGTGTCCCAATTGTTTAGATCAGTGTTGCAATATTTGGCGATTTGTGTGACAAATGTCGAATTCCATCGTTCAGTTTGTCCATTTGTTTGTGGATGATATGGTGTCGAAAAAATGTGTTTACAACCAATTAAATTTGAAATAGCTTGCAACAGTTCGTTCTTGAAGTGTGTTCCTTGATCAGTAATAATTGTGTCAGGTGAGCCATGAACTAAGATAATTTCTTCCATTAATATACGAGCAGTATCTTGAGCTGTATTTGTAGGTGAGGCTTTAGCAACAACATAACCAGATAAGCGATCAGTTATAACTAAGACATATCGATTTCCAGAAAGCGAAGTGGTGGTGGGTCCCCACCAATCCATACCTAGTACTTGAAAAACTTCATTAGGTGGCTGAATAGGCTGTAAAAATCCTGGAGGTTTATGCCGATCCACATGGAATTGTGAGCATTTATCACATGATTTGATATGAGATGTGATTGTTTCTTTCATACGTGGCCAATAATATGTGTTTCGTAACATAGACCATGTACGTCCAGTACCAAAATGACCACTTAATGGATGATCATGATAAGCGGCCATTATTTCTGGAATTAATTTCGAAGGTGCATAAACAAGTTTAATAGTAGCATCATTGCGATAAGCTAATTTATATAAAATGCCATGTTGAATAGTAAACGATTCATAACGACGATTATTTCGAATTTGCTGAAGTATTTGTTGAATAATTACGTCCTGTGCTTGTTCGGAACGTATACGTGATAAACTAAAATCATGTAATGGAGTAGCCATCGGTGGAGAAGAACACCTAGATTGAGATGTTGTTGATGTAGATGATGTATTTGCTGAAGATGAACGTGGTTGAGCTTGAAGTTTTGATTGTTCTCTTGTTGTAACGGCATTAATTTGTGCATTGATACTCGCATTATGAATACAAGTGTGTTTTAAAATAGATGGTTCAGTGTATTGTATACACTGTGGCTTGGGTACGTGTTCATCCCAATGTTCAGTACCAATTGGCCGATCAGCATGTGTTACATTTATTGTAGATGGATTAATATTGGGAGATGTTGATGGTGGAAAATGTCGTAAAATATAATCAGCAGCTGCATTATGTGCTCCTGGTCGATGCTTAACGGCAATAATTTGTGGTAAAATATCTTGTAATTTAAAAAGCCAATTCATCACTCGTTTATTATTGATTTGTTTCTTATGGAAATTTTCAAGTGGCTTATGATCAGTTTCGGCAATAAAATCAGAATCACCTATATATGATCGAAGCTCAGATATGCACCAAAAAATAGCTAGTGCTTCTTGTTCAATTGTATCATATTTACGTTCAGTATCATCTAAAACACGTGATTTAAAATAATTAATTTTGGTACCACTCGGTGTATCTTGTCGTAAAATTCCACCTATGCCAATACCCGAGGCATCAGTTGTTAAAACAAATGGAGTTGATGAATCTGGATATTCTAAAAATAAAGGATATGTTGTTAAAATACGTTTAAATTCATCAAATGAATGTTGCTGATCAGGTCCCCATTTAAATTCATGTCGATGATGTTTTGTTTTATTCGTAACTTTGTGTAATGGTGCAGCTATATGCGCAAAATTAGGAATAAACTTTCGATACCAATTGATTTTTCCTAAAAATTCATTTGCTTCTTTGAGTGTGTGTGGAGCTGGTAAATCGATAATAACTTTAATTTTATCACCATTAGGTTTAATTCCTTGTTCATTGATTGTATGACTTAAAAACTCGATTTCTTGAACAGCAACGGAACATTTATCAGGATTCACTTGGAAGTTGGCTTTAGCTAATATTGATAAAATTTCATTTAAATGTTGCTGATGTTCATTGAGACTACGTGAAAATATTAGGATATCATCTAAATAAACCATAACATAATCCCAGCGGCCATAACCAAGAAGATTGTGCATAGTTCTTTGAAACGTTGGGGGTCCATTCATGATACCTTGTGGAAGAACGTTGAACTCCCATAAACCATCTTGTGTGATAAAAGCTGTTTTTTCTTTATCTGTTTCGTGTATTGGAAGCTGAAAGTAACCTGATTTAAGATCTAATTTTGTATAAAAACGATGACCGCCTAATCGATGCAATAATTCTTCAGCTGTTGGTTGAGGAAAACAATCTTTTTTGGTCACCGAATTTAATTTTCTATAATCCACTAAAAATCTAATACCACCATCCTTTTTCTTGTGAATAATAACTGGAGACGACCAAGGTGAATTTGATGGACGAATTTGATTAGTCTGTGTCATTTTTTGGATTTCAGCTTGAAGTTCACGTCTTTGTTCGATTGTTCTTGGATATGGTCGTGAACTAATCGGAAGGCTATCACCGGTGTTAATAGTGTGTTGAATATGCGTGTTCGCTTGTGTAACTTGCGAAATATCAAAATTTTTATGTGCTGTTGGAATATTGAACGTAATTTTTGTTTATGTTGAACATTTTTAATATGAGTAATTTATGTATCAATTGCATGGGATGTTGCAGAAGGTTTTTGTTCGAGGTGAATTGTATTAAGAATATGACGTTGAGATGATAACGACGAGTATTCGCGAGATGTATCGGATAATAAACATGAATGCATTTGATACGGTGCGTGTGTTATTCTACCTAGAAGAGTATTCATTCATGGTAATGTATATGTATAATCATGAGGATTATATACTTCTAAATATGTAGTATAATTATTTATGTGTAACAACGATGGTGACATGACAATAGATTTTTTTGGTTGTATAGCATCGACAGGAGAGAAGTAGACCGTATCAGCTGATGATAATTCTACTTTGGCTTGAACAGTATATGATTCGCGTGGAGGTATATGAATAACATTAATTGATTTGACATCTAAAGTTAAACACTCAATGCTTTTGTGATATGGAATAAATGTACGACCACGTGAAGAACGTATAGACACTTGATTTTTTTCATAATCAATTTTTGCTGCATTTTTTGTACACCAATCACTGCCAAGTATAAAATCTGTATTCATTGTTTTGACGACGAGAACATTTAAAGGTGTAAAAACTTTATTAAATTGCAATAATAGTAGAACTTCACCCACTATTTTAAGCATAGTTTGACCATCACCTAATTGAGCTATGCAATCACATGATGGGACTACTGAATGATATAATGTGCTCAATGCCCGTTGAGTAATAAATGAATGTGTTCCGCCAGTATCAATCATGGCACGTAGACGTGATCCATTGACGAGAGTATTGATAAAAATTAATGACGGGTTGGATTTTTTAATATTTTGATTTACGGCTTGATGTTGTTCGATGGATTTAACGAGATCTGGTCGAGAGTTGTTAATTGTTGGATATTTTAGCATGTTGTGATTGATATAAGAACGAGAAAACGGAACGAAGCGATGATATATATTTGGTTTTTGTACAGAATAAGTATTATGTATTGATGAATAAAATACTGATGGTCGCGATGGGTGGGAGTCACTACCATCATTTGACCCCCTTAATAGTTTTTTGCAGATCTACAATCACGAGCAAAATGACCCACCTTCTGACATAGATAACATCGTAAAGGACGTGATTGATACCGTAATGCATTGAACGAAGATTGTGGAACTTGAGGTGGAGAACGTGACGACGATGGATCATGAAATCGATTGTACACTGGGCGCGGCGAATATAGGTTTGCATAATAGCCTTTAGAATACATATTTGAGGAATTTTGGTAGTGAATGGCTCCAGCAGATTGTGGAGATCTATATACTGAGTTGTTTGAGTAATTTGTGGCTTGTGTATCATTATCATTGGTGTGTTGAGCAGCGGTAGTAACGAGACGATCCAAATTTTCTTCGTGACGTGCTTTGTCTAAAAATGCTGCCGGAGTTGCTGGAGCTTCACGTAATACGTCTTTCATTAAAGATGATTTTAATCCATGATATAAATGATCGAGTTTGGACGCATCAGTCATATGAGGGTCAACTAATTTGCATAATATCTGTATAATATTCGATAACAGCTTCATCATGGCGTTGTTGACGAGTTCTTAAGCGGTTAGACGCTAATTGTTTTGATGATGGTGATGAAAATGTATGAAGAAATTGAGCTTTAAATCCACTCCAGGATTCGAACATTGTAATATTTTCATTAAACCATTGCTTCGGATGTCCTTCCAAAAATGTGAATATTATTTTTAATCCTTGTGGTTCTGTAATATCAGCCATACAAAATGTAGCAGTTAAATTCTTCATCCATTCATCGGCGTCTTGGTCTGGTTTACCAGAAAATTTAGGTGTTTGTTCCAAAGTTTTACTTAAAAGTGTTGCGACGGTTTTCTCTGCCATGATTGATTCTGCTGGACGATAAACTATTGGAGCTACTGTTGTACGATCAGCAAAAGTAATATCAATATCGGATAATCGTTGAAATTCAGCTTCAAGGAGTCGTTTTGCACCTTGTCGTTTTAACACACACTAATTATATGAATAATAATCAACCCCGGCTTGTGCACCAAATTGTTAGGTCCGTCGCCTTCGTTTATTTCTTTCAATCCTTCCTTTATACAAAAAACAAAAAACACAACTGAACTCAAAAACAAAAAGCAACAAAATATGTGCTTTTTCTTTCTCTCTCTCTTCCACCAGTCGGCTCCATCTCATAACTATGATAGAGGGATAAAGATGGCCGTCTTATGTCAGGAGATGTCTTTACTGACATAACACACAGTACATTCAAAATTATTTTGGATGGAAACAAAAAGGAACAATAAATAAACCTGAATAGTGCAAAAGAATATGTGCAAAAATAACAGAACCGAAAATTTTCCATTGAGAAAATTTGCAAAAGGACGAAGGCAATTATTATTTCATCGAGTGTTTCTTGATTTCAATAATAGTCAATGATATCATTGCCTGAGTAAACAATTTACTCAGATGTTGGAATTGACAGTGGTAACACATATCTAGTCTAATCGTCTGTTTTTTTTCAGTAATGAACATTCATAGAAATACTCCATGTGCAAAATTAGAAGAAATATTTCTAAGCAAAATAATCAATGGATTAAGTTTCAGTGTTAGCTGAGAGTATCAAATCGACAACAACATGATACATACGATTGTATATAGTATGACAAGAAATGCATCTCCAACAACAAAAGACATGTAAAACACAGAAGAGCTGATCAAAAATATAGAATAGAACTTTCCAAGTCTTCCTACTGACACCACATAATGCGTCTGGTCTGTTTATTAGAACAGACTTCGTAATAATATAGTCATTTTCATGATTAACATTTGAGTTAATGCAAAGTCTAATTGAAGATTAGTTTTAATCACCTGCTACAATGTCTTATTATTCTAATCCGATGACCAAATTTACAGTTTGCATTAGTAACAAACATTCTAATATATCTGCTCGTATAAAACATTACATCTTTCGGCAAATCTATTTTTTAAGCTTACAATATATGCCTCTTGATAATAACAAGAGCTATCTCCAATGAAAATAGACACTGTTTGTCATGAGAGAAAAAAATGATTTCGAGAAAAGTCGTATCCACACACGTTTGATTTCAATCTATGCATGTTAACCAAAGAATCATAGCTGCTTTGTTGTAAAACAAGCAAGAAGAAAAAACAATATTCACCAAACACAGTAAAAAAGACAACAATGCATCTCAGTCACTATTGCGTCGTGCCTAGTTGACGCCTAAAACAAAAAAAAGCGAATAATGATTGAGTAAAAATCACAAACAAAATGAAGCCTAATATAAAACTTTTGTGTTCTGAAAGAAAACGCATTAGAATGGATAAAAAATAGTAAAAAAATCAAACCCGAAGTTCAATAAGAATAATATACGATAATCCAACAAATTTCCTAGGGTTGCTGGAAGAAACCAATGTATAGGTTCACTTAACATATTCTTAATGCGAGCAATTCGAAATTTTGATGGAATAAATTAGTTCAATAGCGATGGAATCGCTTCGTTCTCATTTTTTTTTGATGAGGAAATTTGCTAGTTTCAACTAATAGCTTTTTAAAAGTTGTCAGTTAAACTTGGAGAAGGTCTTTTTACAAACGTGAAAAATAAAGAAAAAGACACCATCAGTTTACTTAACATCATGTTACAACCGATTATATTTTGTTGAAAAGATAGAAGGAATGCAATAGCTCATAAAACAGGCTGATTCAACTCAAATTTATAAGAAATGTTCCGAAAATTTTCTTGTATGACTTTATTTTCTTGAATAGATGCTAAAATCGGCACGCTGCTATGCCACTATTATGTCGTTTCTGGAATTGTACCACAATCTGAATGAATACTTTTCGTATTTTATTCTGAGTAAAGGATGAAAGTCATTAGAATAAGGTTTATTGGTAGATTCATATTTGCATGTAAAATCAACGTAAAAAAACGAAACCTACAGGGAAAAGAAGTATGGCATGTCTTACTCCTACCAACATAAATTATTATTTTTTTATTCATTAGAAATCTACCACTAGAAAATAATTATAGAGGAAAAACAAATAATCAACAGTTCGTAAAGAAAAGTTACTTAAACTAAAGGAGATTTAGGATGCAAAACTTACATCTTTACGCTACACCTATGAAGACAGTTGAACGTTCGGTATAACATTATTTTGCAGTTATTTTTATGACATAAAAGTTATGAATATTGCCAATTGCTTAGAATTAATCTTTCTCGTACTACCAAAAGCAATTCATTCGTTCGATTTCAATTATCTTTGTTCTGTTCGTAGATTTCGATTAAAATTTTATAAGATAATCATGCTTTTGTCTTGCTTCTATTTCATGGTATGCAGTACAACGCCTTTTATTGTTCTCGCGTTTCGATTGTTCTATGTGTAGAAACATAGAAGTGGTAGGAAAATAAAATTGATTAAAATTTGATTTTAATTCTTGCCAAGCTTGATGTCAAAGGAGAACTGTACGATTGTATTGCTTATTTTTCCATTCATATTGTTTGATCAATTGCAGTATAGAAATCTAACGAAAAAATCGATATTTTCGTAGACTTTGACTTTCAATAAGGCCAAATTCAGATTATTAACATTTGATACAGACAATATTCCAAGCAGACATGACCCACGTTCTTCACCGAAATCCAACCATAATCCATTTCAAACCTTCTTTAAATGCACCAAAAGTGATCAAAGTTTCTCGACGACAAGAGCCGCATGCAGTCGTCATCACGAAACCACAGCAAACAAAAATTGGTATCTTTCACACAAGAGTAATTCCATTAAAACATCATCCTGGCAAAGACGAAAAGCTAGTCAGCAATAACCTACGTTCAGTAAGCTTATTTACTTTTCAGTTTTTGAATATCACTTCTCGAACATCCTATCGAATAATATGCTCATCAAGATATGAATAGAATTTTAGAATCCAATTGTAGTTGTGTGTTGACACAAGCATCCTTCTTCGAACGGGCTGTGAGCCGTTTTTAGACAGAAAGAATATTTCACGGAAAAAATACTGATGGATTGAGTAGAATAAATGACCATATTTTGTACATTTGTATAACTCTTGGATACTTTTTATTAGGAAAGACCTGGAAAACTGCTCATCTTTTTTTAGTCTTTACAAAAACATGTACAAATTGCACCCATTTATCCTAGCTCACATTGACACTAGTTTTTTGTAAATAGGTAAATCACAAAAAATGGCAGACTGATGATTTGCAATATCCTGCAGAACAAAAACAAACAGGTTTCTCTATGCAAAGAGCCGGCAAAAATCTTGGTATGCCATTGCCGACAACTAAAAAGTTAGCGGTATTATCGGATGATCCAATTAATCCGGTGAGAAGTAGTAGATTCTGTAAAAGTCACAAAAAAATTATTTTCACACACAGAACGACGACATCGACACATCAATAACACCTGAGAGCCGTATCAGTAGCCAGGTAATATCATTTTAGTTTCTTTTAAATTTTTTTATCATGTATGTTAATGCAAACAAGAGCATTGGTTCGTATGGCTCACAATTCAGCGTTGATCATGGTTATAAGCAAAAACCGAGCACGAACCAGTCAGCTTTTCTTCCTGCGTTAACCTTGTCTGCAAATAATAATATTTGTTTTTAGAAAATACTGTTATGGTCTACTTCAATACTCACGATCTTGTATAGTTTGGTCTACAATGTTTGCTGTACTGCTCGTTATCATTGATCTCTCGGTTATTCTCGTTGCTTCATTGATCAAATCGAATGGAATTACATTCACAAGTACAACAAGTATGAAGCTTAGTTTTTCTGTATTCATGTTGAGATGAACACGCATATAACATATTCGCGGGTTGATAATCAGAGAAGTTTGCGATGCATCTAAGGAATATGAAGATCCTATCATATCAGGCCGAATCGAATTCTGCCAAACACGATACAAATAAAGTAAATGATATAACACGCTCGTTCATGCGTGATGTACAGTTTTATCATACATGCAAAATGTTTTCTCAGGAAGGTAAAGATACCAGAATGGTGGTTCATCATGTGTATAATAAGCGCCCATTGATATTTCCGTAGGAGCAGAAAAAAAGGCTGATGTGTTAGACAAATACTTCAGTGTAACTGTGACTGAAAATAAAGATTTCTACTGATGTCCGAGAAGATTTTTGTTTGATTCATCACTATATTCTCGATTGTGTTTCCAAGGTACAACCATCGACGTCATTACAAATGCAACTTCAACGACAGGTAAGTCGAGCCGACCTGTTTACACTATAAACTATTGATCAGATGTCGCCGAATAAGAATAGACTCTCATTTTACAGTTGGTACCTGCTCTGCATCATCCACCGGCATTATATATAATACTTTGTATATCGGAAATACATCGTCTACTTGGACATCGATCACTCATAATTTTACAGCATTGTCAGCGAACTCGACACTAATAATGGTCATTAAGGCTAGTAGCAATTATGGATGGTTTCTCGATGATTTTTCAGTCGAAGATTCTAGTGGTAGCGAAATGCTAAGAAATGGCAATTTTGAAAACGGTACTCTAACTAACGGTTGGATCTCTATTCATTGTGAAGATTTATATTGTGCAAATATTACGAATTTGGGATGTAGTGGTGGTTCGGGTTTATGCTACTATGTCACGTGTGACACAGTTCAAGCACTTCAGCAAACATTTTCCACGACGCCGACAAATGCATATACTTTCTCTTTCCAAATAAAATGGATAGGATCTATTGGTTCTGCCAATAACAACTGGCTATCTTATAGCATTTCGTAAAAACATCACTTTCAAAATGTTCTTATCATCAAACGTATCTTATTTTCAATTCATTAAATGAAGGAGAGCCGTATAATTTTCAATTTTTCATTTCTGCTATCGATTCGAATTAGCCTTGCAGAAGTTCTGAAATTAGCATTGAACGAGAAAGAAAAGAATACAAGTAGTTTACATTGATAAAACGAGGTAATGCACAGTATTTTTTTCTATTTAAAAACATAGTCAAAACAGAGGTATCATATTAAAGCTTAATTGTTGGTGATGTTTAGTCTTGTATGACCATATTTTTCTAACCATTTCAGTTCTTCTCGAACTTTAATTTTTCCATGCCAAGGATTATTACTTAATGTATGTCCTTCATTTGGAAAGATCAACAATTGTACTGGTATTCTTCGGTAATATAAACCACGTTCCAACATGAAACTTTGATCAGGCAGAATGTTTACATCATTTTCACCTGTAATGATCAATGTAGGTGTACGCACTTTATCCAAATAGTAAATGGGTGCTTGTTGTTGATATATATGTGGTAACTCCCATGGAAACCCGCCAAATAGGTTGTTATATAACAATGGAAAATCCATACTACCCCAAAGAGAAACATGTTCAACAGCACCAGCGCCAGACAATGCTGCATTGAAACGTGTCGTCTGTGTAATTAACCAATTGGTTATAAAGCCACCATAACTGTATCCACCGACAGTTAGATGATTTGGATCGGCAATACCCTCTTGAATTAAACGATCGATACCTGAAAGTATATCTTGCGAGGGTCGTGATAGTGGTTGATAACGAATTTCGTCGAGAAATTCTTGACCATACCCAATCGATCCTCTATAGTTGGGCTCAAAAACTAGCCAACCAGCTGAAGCAGCCATTGGTGCCCACGAATAACTTTTTACATCAAAATCATTTAGACTTGCTGATGCTGGACCTCCATGAATCAAAACTAAAAGTGGCAAATATTTTGATTCGTATTTTCCTGGTGGATAATGCAAGATTCCCTCTATGCTGCGTTTATCTTCATTGCTTGTCCATCGATAGATTTTCGCTTGAGGTAAATCTCGTTGAGTGAAAAGTTCATTTTCATTGGTAATTGCTTTAGCTATTTGAAGATCATTAATATTTTCAACAAGATACACTTCTTTCGGTCGTCCAAATTCTGAATAAACAAATGCTAACGACGAACAACTAGTTGATAACGATGATGATATAGATTCATAGGTTCCATCCCATCCTTGGTGTAATTTTGAGTAATTATTCATCGGCGATGATTGTGTATAAATACGGGTATTAGTACCCAGTTGTCCAAGTATATAGACTCCACCATCGAACTTAACTGTGTAATCAACAATATTACCTTCGAAATCTGCTGCTAGATTAGTAACCTGCCTATTTGTTACATCGATCGAGTATAAGCGTTGCTGTGTAGTAAAAACTTTGCCATCAATCGAACTCATAGGAAACAACATAAAAAGGACATTTTTACCATCGTTTGATAATTTTAAATTTGCTTCATATCCATAATTGGTGGTTAGTTTTAATGGTGGTTTCTCGTCAAGTAGATTAATAGAAAAAATTTCCAGATCATTTGGATTTTCGAAAATAAACGATATTGAAACAAGAAAAAGCTGTTCACTGTATGGAACAAATAAAAGATCACTAATTTGAAATGGAATATGTCGGACGATATTCATTTGAATAGATGAAGTGTGATTATCAATACTCAAATCAATACGATAGATGATACTTCCATCAATGAGTTTATTATCTCGATGACGAATCACATCTTTCCATTCGTCGTCTTGATTTAAGTTTAACGAAATTGTAGCAATATAAAAAGATGAATCATTGTTTGACCATGCTAGAGCAGTAGGAATCAAAAATCCCAGTGATATTGGCAACAATTCATTAGATTCAATACAATAAACATAGAATATCTGTTCACCGATTATGTTATTGTCGGATAAAGATCGATGATAAATATGATTTCTAAGTTTGTCAGTTGCCAGTTGCTTCTCTCTTGAAAATAAGACTCGTTTTCCAGTTGGTGACCATCGTGGTCGAAAACTGGGATCAAGCTGTTTCGTGATTAATTTCATGCGTTGGGCGCGAATTTCATATAACCAAAGACTATTCTCGTACGAATTCGTATTCCACGATGGACGATTCTTTTGAATGAGTAAATATTCACCATCAGGCGAAAAAGCTAACGATGGAAATCTTGTATAATCGAAAAATTCATCAATTGTCAATATCGGCTTCGATGCATTCGTTGCATATGATGAGAATTTCAATAGAAGTGATAAATACAATATTATAAGATTTCTAAACATCTGAAAATAATTCCTGATATTCAGAAAATGCATAACGCAGAAACTCAGTTATTTATTTCCAAATAGTTATAGAAATCATGACAAATATAATTTTTGTGTCAGAAAATGTAACGGTCTCATCAATATGTCTATCGAATATCTAATCGGCCCACTCTTAATAGGTTACCTATGAGCACATACATACATACATTATTTTTAATATTCACTAAGCATCAATTACAACTAATTCGATATTGTTGATGTAGAGCAACGAAAACGAGTTTTGAAGATTAGAAAGAGTAACACATGGTTACCTCTATACATCGATACTCGTTCTCGTAAAGATTATGCTTATTTGTGACATTTTCCTTCCGAAGATACTCGTTCGTATGAAATGTCGACAAAGACTCTTCACAGGATTGTTTCGATTTCGGTATTCTTTATTTTAAGATTTATGTCTCATCGCTATATGAGATGAAGATTAAATATCTCTCTTATTTTACTCCAGTCCTTCGATAAATGTGAATCATCTTGATGTTCTCTAACCTATATGGCTACGAATATATTTCTTGTTGTTTATTGTGAGACTGTGAGTGAGTGTGGGCACAGTATTTATCAAGCGCTATATTAAAAATCAGACAAACAATCGATCGGAATAGTTATTCTTCGATATTTTATCGACAACATTTAATAAAATTCGATTATTCTGAACTAATAATTTCTTTATTATTTTAAACGATAAATATTTGAAGCAACACATTCAACTCTATGGATGATACCATTAGAAATTTCCAATTTTGATTTCAACCATCCTTGCGCTCTGCAAAAATCTTCACTGAAATATTACGAAATAAATCATTTTCTTTCAAGAGGCGTGACAAAATACGTTCTTTTCGTTGACAGCTTCGATTGTTATTCATATACAGATACATGTGAAGTTGAAACACAAATTTAATTCAAAGTTTATTGGTTAGAAAGTTGCAATTTATTGTGTCTCATACTTATCGTGGCGTGAAAGCAGAACTGTGCGCTGGTATTGCTTAGTTTCTCTTTGTTGTTTTTTAATCAACTACAGCATAAAATCTCGTTATTTTCATCATTCATTACCTTTCTGTTTTTTTATCAAACAAAATATATTTGCACAAGCTTTTAATGAAAAAATGTGAAATTCAGATTGTCATAATTCGATACGCTGAATTTTCTGAGGACATATATGATCTATGCTTCTAATCACAATCCAACGCATTCACATAACCAATAATAATTCTTGCTAAAACTTTTTCAATCGGATTAATAATGATAAAAAACTCTCGACAACATGAATCGAATCCACCGCCGAAGCCAGCTAGCATCATTCATGTAAAAGTTGGTCCAGTAAAACATAATAGCAATTCAGATCCAAGTCTGATCAATCATCAACAACGTTCAGTTAGCTATATATATATATATATTCCAGTTTTCTTCATACTTTTCTTTTTTCAATAGTCTTTCCCGCCATATCCTACAAACCGTGTGATCGTTAAGGTATGCATATCACTATGAAACGTCATTCGTTTTGAACAGGCAACCATAGCAATCAGTTGGTCTATTGAAAACATCACTACCCCATCGTTTATGATTATCACACGGAAGTATTTCCCAATGCTAAGCTCCTAAGAGAACAAAATTTCCGCCATTGTCCCTAAGATTATGATAGCTGTATATATTGATAATATATTCCAGCAAGCATAGACTATCGGAGACTTTGTAGGGGAGTATTCGAATCGATGATTGGTTTTGTAAAACTCGATAAATCCAATATTTGGAAAATCAAAATATTAGAAATATATTCATACTTTTTCGAATTAAACTAAATCAGGTATTCCAAAGATGTGATAAACGATTCAGAGTTTTTGTCACATCCATAATGTTTTACCATATTTCTGGAATACTTTTTGAATAGCTGAATATCAGAAAATGGAACAACGATAAATGGTCACTTCCTTCAAGACGACGACAACAACAACAACAGCAGCAGAAAGGTTTTATCACAACAAAAACTGGTGAAGTAATAACGCTTATTTTAGGTAGCAACCTTGAAATACCTCTTTCAACGATCAAAACATTACCAATCGTGTTTAAAAACGCTGACTATCCGGTAAGAATTAGTAGATTTGTGTAAAGTTTGATCGTAAACGGTTAATACGACATTATGATCTTCTATAGAATCATAGCACTGCCAAGACAATCCTGCCTCGTAATCAAAATAATAGTACTGTAAGATATTGATTGTCTTTTTTAAATTTCTTTCAATTTCATCACTGTGAACTAGATCATGGGTAGTTGTATTACCGAATCGAATTTCGGGTCTGGTTATGACGGAATTCTTCGAAATAATGGAACGAAAGTGTAAGTTTTTCTTTCCTGCGCATCTCATATACGCTCGTCTTGACATTCATTCTCTAGAAAATATGGTAACGGTCTGTTTCAACGCTCACGAATTTGCATAGTATGCACTACAGTTTTTGCTTTTCTTCTTGTTGGGACCTCTCTGTCAGTCATCATTGTTTCTCTTCTGATCAATTCAAAAGCGTCCAATACATCAAGCACAATCAGTAGTACAGCTTCATCAAGTAAGACATTTTCATTGTTTTTTCTCTTGCGAAGATAAATATACAGAAAACAACCACGCAGTAGAACCATAGTAGACAATACTTTTAACATCGCAAACTAATACAACTCTATTGAATTGAATTCTTTGCTATTGAGCTCATCTAAACAAGAGGCAACATGCATGGCCTCGTCAAAGCAAAAGCGCATGCACTTTTCTAAAAGTACTTTTCGGTACCCGACATAAAGTTCGCAGCACAATGACCTGTGACATTACGAATCACGTTTTTGAATTGCTAATCACACCAATACTCAAAAAAAAATGATTATCTAACTACAAGACAACATATGTTAAAGATGGTGTTTCATAACGTTCGCAATAGTTAGATCGATCGAAACTCGTACTAGCACTAAAGAGACTCTCTAATTGACTGAATATCACTGTTTTTACCCGGGCATACTCTATAAATAATAGAATCATGTCTTTGTACAAATGAATGATTCGTTGCTAAAAAAGAAAACTAACTATGCTCTTTGTTTAGTCACTGTTTAAAATTGTTCGTTTCTTGAACCATTTGTATACTTTTATTTTTTTTACAAGATACAACAATCGCTGCCATGACAACTGCAACAGCATCATCAGGAAGTAAGCTGATCTTCGTTGTTTACACCGTAAGCTAGTATGGAAAGTTCGAGTTAAACTTTGGCGATGATAATATTTTCAACCTAAGGTATTTGTTCAGAAATGAATTAAAGTCAATTTTTCAGCAATTGCAAACTTCGAGATATTCGTAATTTATATCGGTGATTTATATAGATTCGAATGATGACGTGGAATTGGTGTGAAGTTGTTGAGATTGAATAGATTAGATTGAGTAAAATTTACCTGATCTCAGATCTTCTGATAAAGGCAAGTACAAAAATATCTCATTTCGTCTGTTTTATAGCTACGAGCTGCTCTATATCAACAGATGGAGTTGTAAATAGCACTTTAATCGCCTGGAATGCATCTACAAGTTGGATGTCGATAGAACGTAACTTCACTGCATCATCAGCAAATTCTACGCTTATAGTCGTTATTTCGGCTACTAATATGACCGGATGGCTTCTGGATGATTTTTCAGCTGAAGACTCTGGTGGTAATGAGCTCCTAAATAATGGCAATTTTGAAAATGGTACGGTGACTAATGGCTGGTTGTCTACCCGTTGCACAGGAGCTAATTGTGGAGCTATTACAAGCTCGGGATGTAATGGTGGCTCCACTGAATGTTTTCAGGTGACCTGCAACACAAGTCATGCTCTTCAGCAAACGTTTCCTACTACTCCTGGCAATATGTATATTTTTTCATTCGCAGTGGAGGTTCTAGGATCAACTTCTAGTAGTATATCAATATCGTACAGCATTACATAAAAGACTATAGGCATAACATCTTTCGAGAAAACATAATTCACTGTTAAGTTATTAACACAAGGAGTTCTACTAAAACATAATAAAATATTCACTTCTTAAAGAATTTTATGTAGTAAATTACAGAAATTAGTAACAAAAATAAGCGAAAATAAATTCTATCAATATCATATCAAAATATTCCGAGTGTCAAATCTCGTACAAGATGAGAACTCAAGCGAATAGTCTGTTAACACAAAAGATAGTGTAGGTTTTGCTTTGGCAGCAATTGACTATTCATTTCTTTGTAATCACTACATGATTTGTGTACAAAATATCTTTAAACCAAAACGCAAGTCTCCCTGGGTTACCGGAACTTCGCCAATAAGACATTTCGCCAAAAGTACACTCGCCAGTGGCGAAAGTCTTATTGACGAAGTTCCGGAATCCCGTCTCCCTAATGAAAATGTACATGCCGGAATTAGCACATAATTCTTCGTAAATTTTTGGAAAGACGAAAGAATAGCAATTAATAATACAAAAACAAAGTTTCATATGTTCCACAATCGTAACATGCGCACGGTGAAATAAGAGATGTTGGTAGTTCGCAATAAATAAATTTGACGACTTCACTCTATTAAGTTCGATCATGATGTTATATTTTGGTGCTAATAATACAGAAACTTTTAAAACTACACTGATGAGGCAAACGCCAACTGATGTTTAGTGAATTAAAAGATTTCAATGGTCTCTAATAAAAACAACTAATCTTTAGCAGTTTTCACCAAGGTAAATTGCAACAATTAATTTGATAGATCCGGTCATATTGCACAAATAAGATCAATATTTGTAATATGATATGTTTGTTAGATGAACTCAAATCTATTATTATTAGAGTTTGCCTTGAATATTGTACATCGTTTTTACGAAATCGATAGGTGTTCATTTTTCTTTCTTAAACCCATGTATGGTATCTTACTTCAGCATTTACTTGCATTCGTTTTATCATTCATGAAAAGAAACATACTCGTTCACTTTTGATAGTATACATGTTGGAAATATTCAGCTTTACTCATTAGTGTCGGATTTGAATGCATATCAATTTAACGTAAATGATAATGGGAATTTTTAATTGAGTATAAGTATCAATTTAGCTTTAGATTCTCCATGTGGATTTACCGAGGCAGATACGAGATGAAAAGCATAGTTATGAATTCAAGTCAACTTGCCTGATATAGGCACGATGAAACATGAGACGTCAAGTAAAAATTACCACCATTTACTATCATTCTAACGTACAAGAAGTATACGTATCAGCGACATGTTTTGAAATTTTAGTGAAATTTGCTAACTGTATCTTTCAGTGTTAACTAAATATTGTGCCAAGAAAAAATATTGAATTGGTATCTTGAAACAATATTAAAAAAAACACATGGTGGCTTACAACGAATATGCCAAATTCGTTCAGTTTTGCAATAGCAAGACTGTTTAAGACTAGCAAAAACGAGATGTAAAAATTCTGTGTCCTCTGTATACCAGCGAAAAACAAAATCAGTCCACTGCAATATTTCACGAATTGACAGCGTCGCTGTCATCAATCATCCGTAGCTTGATACTGTTTGTGTATGCTAAAGAAATAGGTCTTTTATTAAATGAAACTCTCGAATGCGATTTTCAAACAATATATAATAGTGTAGCATGCTAAAACCCATATATAGAGCACTGGTGAGGATGAACTTGCTACTGTATATGTAGTTGCTGTTGAAGATATGCCTGGTCCTCCATATGTAGTTGTTGTACTAGTGGTAGTCGTTGTTGAACTATTTGGTAACCCGTGGTTTAAAGCCTTGACTAAAAGAACGCTTATCAAAATTATCGAGCCGATAAATATGACCATGGATACCATCAGAAGCTTCCATACCCTTGGACGTTGTATAATTTGATTATAAACGCGATTCTTTAAGCTCAACTGGTCAACTTTTTCTATTGTCATTATCTAATCGACAAACAAAAAAGACAATATATGAATGGCACAAATTTTAAGGGTATCATTCAGCATCACTTCAAATGCATCCTTTCTCTACCAAGTGTCGATCAAAAAGGTTTGATTTTTTCAGAGGGAAAAGTACGATCGAAAAAGTGCATAAGTGTAGCTCATTCTAGCTTGTGTTTTGTAGGTGATGAAATAAATGCTTACTGAGACTGTAATATATTTTTTTGGAGTACATTGTTCATTCCTAATTTGATTTGTCTGAATCCAATAAATTTATTCATAGGAAGCTCTCAAGTTATTTTCGAATGATTTATATCTTTCTCTTTAATAGCAAACAAAATGTCCATGACAAGAAACATTTGTTGGACATCACAGAAACTTCACCTTCTACATGAAATAATAGCCCGGAAAGTTGGGATTCTCATTAGTGTATTTGAACCTATGGATAGAGAGTTTTCAAGATTCTAAGCTAAAATTTTTAACAGACTGCCTGTCACATATTTCATCTGAATTGAGAAATTTAAAAGACTCATGTAGCAGTATAAAAATTGTTTCAATTGTGAGTAAAACATTCTTATTCATAAACTACGCAAAAAAATGCAACACAATAGTCGACACACTTGCAAACTTCCTCACTGTTTGCGGTAGGAGCAGATCAACGATTTTTAGGTTAGGTGTAAATCAGTAATATTTCATTGAAAAAGTCAAATTCAACTCTCTACAAAATACAAACAATTTTCAATACTTTCGTCTCAAGTTACTATGAGACTCAGTCAGATTTACACTATGAACTTGTAAATAGTATTCATTTTACATAAGAACACCAATGGATTATTCCTGATAATTCAATACTACGAGTAGAAAACATTTAATATATTCTTGATCCTGCGAGTTTGATGTGTGGAAAATAAGTGAAAGGCACTAGAATATGTAAATTCTGCTATCTTCAGTACATTAATGGGTAATATTAGGTTCAGAATAAGATGCAAAACTCTCGAAAATCGAACGCGATCAAATGAAAATATTCATAGATTAACTCGTTCGAAAAATTATTCATTTTAGTTTTTCTAAGGGAGTTCAGTTTCGACGGACGTTGAGAGAATTTAATTAATCATGATGAATAGTTTAAACTTATCCGATGTCATGCTCAAATGCGTAGAAAATATCCTTTATCCTATCAAACCATATTCAAGTTCGACTTTAATGAAGTATATGAATGTGTTCTAATCAGATATTTCTAGAATATTCAGTTTCCATATCCTTATGTCTGCACAGAAAAAAGTTACCATTTCAGAAAAAGCTGCTACATCTGTATTGTTCGAAAAATTGGTAGACTGTGAATTAGAAGTTGTTGGTGGGTAATCAGAAGATGTTATAGCCTTGGCTTGTTCAACGTATTGGTTATCGTTTATAGTCTCGACCAGTGACACTAAGTCGGAAGGCTGATTTAGCACACCAAATTGCAAACAAAGATGCGTATAAAGCTCTAATTCGAGTTTTTGTTCTTCAACGCCTCTGTAAAGATGAATGGTTCAAACATTGTCCTAAATACGTCGATATCGACTTTACATGTTATCTGAAAATTTTACGATGATATTTTACTTCATGTATTTTTACGCTTCTAATTTTGAAAAGTGTTCCAAATGATAATAAAACTTCATATTCGTGTGGTTTCGTAGAATCTGCTGTAGCGATATATGCATATGGTTTAGAAACATTCTCCGGGTGAAGATTTTCGATAACGAAGACGACTGAGATGTGATTTTCTGATTTTTCAGCATCTTTCCCTGAAAATGCAAAAGCCACTGGTTCATCGGCGAAACAAGACACGAATGAGTTGGCCATAACATGTTTTCCAATGTTTCTGCACAGATCATCACACTCTTCTCTAAGAAGGAGTTTCCCTCGATATAACCGTACGATGTCACAAAGCAGTGTTGATCGTTGTAAACGATAAAGTTTCTCGAGACGTGAATAAATATTAGAAATAAAATAGCGACTTTTGAACATTGGGCCTAGATCGCAGGACCTTAGTGTTTTATTGAGAATGCGGGAAGCAAAGTCTCCTTTAGTATACCACAATATCGCATTGTCTGGTTATAACTCTTTTTAAATTGACGGATTTGCTCTAGACGTATGTGGTCACTATGATATTTACTTTCCGAGTAGGTTAAGAAATCTTCCTTGGCTTGTGATGTAGTTGGAGAGCGGTGCAAGATTTCAATCAGAAAAAATTTCAGCGCTAATCTTTGTGTTTCAGCATCAAGATTCTCGAGTTTTCGGGAGCTCACATCTGATGGTAAGATATGCAAACAGGATACATCTTGTGAGAATCGAACGATGTTGTTGGATGCATCTCCTTTTGTTTTTTTACCATAAATCATCAGATCCAAAGTGATAAATATGAGGGCTGCGCAAATACAAATACATTTTGTATTATTAAAAACTGAGCACCTTCAAACCTCAGAATAGGTGGGTATGTAATATTATGTAATATTATGTACTATTCTAATATATCCTTAAAAAAGAGTATTTGAGAGTAAAAAATGGTTTATGAGTAGCGGAAGGCAGGTTTAGTATAAACCCTTTCATGAAAGGGTTTATTGTTCTACCCTTCCATGAAAAGGGTTTAGGACTCTACGCTTAAGGGTTTATTATTCTACTCTTTCATGAAAAGGGTTTAGTATTTTACTCCTGCCACAATTGGTCAACTAGGATATTTACTGAGTCGCAAAAACACAACTTCAAGTCAACCCAAATAAAAACTTGTTTCCAACAGCTCCGACCAAGTCCAATCCACCTGGACTTCACAAGACTTGCTCAGCTCTAACACTTCCACGCAAAGAATTTATAGTTTCGTTTACCAACAGATACATAAAACATCAAACTATAATTTATGCGTCACATTTTATCAGCCCACTAGTTGAGCAAGAAGTGAGTGTATAAATTTTACTAAAAATCTATTTTATTTTGATGTCGTATGTCGTCCAACAACTTCCTCAACAACTAGCGAAAAATTAAGAATAAAACAATATTTTAGTTCGTTTAATATAAATACCGCTGAACAGTTATCAACAACGGTAAATATACATTTAAATCAATATTTTCTTTTGCTTTATTTAGAAACCGTACAATCATTTAGCCAACCATAAGTAAGTGCAATGTCAAATTAAATTTTTCATTTTATTTTCTATAGATTCATTTCAGGAAATGGTTGGAAAAGGGTAAGTATCAAATTTTGAATCAATTTATATTCGTTTTTACTTATTTTGCTTTATTTCGTTTTGTGTTATTTTATTTTCTATAGATTGGCTTGAGGAAATGGTTGGAGAAGGGTAAGTATCAAATTTTGAATCAATTTTTCATTTTTTTTATTTTACCTCATTTCGTTTTCTTTTACTTTATTTTGTATAGATTGACTTCAGGAAGTGGTTCAAAAAGGGTAAGCATCAAATTTTAAGTCGATTTTAGATTCGTTTTTACTTTTATTTTTTATTGCGCTATCTCATTTTAGTTTATTTAGATTGACTGCAGCAAATGGTTTAAAAACGGTAAATATGAAATTTCAAATGAATTTCCAATTTAATTTTTTTTTAAATCTATTTGGATTTATAGTCAGTAAATGTTTCAACAAAGATAAGTATTAAGTTTGAAATAAATTTTTAATTTACTTAATTATATTTCGTTTGGTTTTGTTTCATTTTGTTTTGTTTTAGTTCATTAATATTTTCTTCAGCAAAAGATTCAACAACGGTGAGTGTAAAATTTGAATCAAATTTTTACCATATTTTATTTTACTTTATTTATATTTATTGGATTTTATTTTATTTCGTTTTATTTCATGTTATTTTAGTCAGATTTATTCTATTTTATCTAGGTTGGGTTTTATCCAACAAATAGTTCAATAGCTGTAAGTATAAAATTAAAAAATATGAGAATATTTTGTTTTGGTCTATTTAGAAAATGTCAAAGAATTTGTTGAATAATAGGTAAGTAGAAAATCGAAAATAAATGTTTATTTCATTTTATTCAGATGTGTCGAACGGCTGGCGGAATGGGAAGTGAACAACACTGTAAAAAAAAAGAACTTTACTGAACCCTTCAAAAAGGTTCGGCAAATGACAAAAAGCTTGCAAATGTATTGAAAGTTCCAAAAAAAGAGTAAAGAAATCCACGGAACCTTTAAAGGATCTGACCGTGTGTCCGCAATCAGATCCTTTTTTCTTCGGAACCTTTTTAAGGTCGGTAGAGCAAAAAAAAGGTTTTGTAGGCGAATACGAAACTTGAAAAGTTTCTTATTAAATATAACGGTTTTATACGAAACCCAGTNTTTTAAGGTCGGCAGAGCAAAAAAAAGGTTTTGTAGGCGAATACGAAACTTGAAAAGTTTCTTATTAAATATAACGGTTTTATACGAAACCCAGTACGAAACCAATAAATTTAATAAGAAACTTTTCAAGTTTCGTATTCGCCTACAAAACCTTTTTTTTGCTCTACCGACCTTAAAAAGGTTCCGAAGAAAAAAGGATCTGATTGCGGGCACACGGTCAGATCCTTTAAAGGTTCCGTGGATTTTTTTACTCTTTTTTTGGAACTTTCAACACATTTGCATGCTTTTTGTCATTTGCCGAACCTTTTTGAAGGGTTCAGTAAAGTTCTTTTTTTTTACCGTGAACCAACAATGAAGTTTGCTTTCTTTTAGTCTGGGTTGGTGGAACAAGTGATCCAAGAATGTATGTTTGAATTTGAAACGTTCGAAAGAGTAGATGAAAGGTTTATTATAGGTTGCAATTTCATCAACGCTTTTTGAGTATATTATTCTACGAATTTTTTTTACCGTTATGTTCAACACCGCCTACGATTCTTATTAGTGGTCGAATATTAATCATCTGGAACGCTTCATTGACTTTAACATATGAGTTTTTTTTATCCATATCAAATCGTTGATCTTGTTTTATGGGTTATAGGAATGAGTTTCTATAATAGTGTATGAGGACATTTAATTTGTATATTTATCAGACGTCCACCAATATGAATTGAACGATTGGCACTATTACTTCGTCAAAATAATTTGAATATCTATCTATCAATCAATCTCAAACGCATCTCCAATTGATGCAAATACGGTCAGATGTCATTCAGGCACAAACAATGAATTTCAATTTTTTTATTGTTTTTCTACATTTATATGAACATGCGCACGTCTACTGAAGTACTTCTGCGAAAGAAATTTTAGCATGTGCTCTCGCTTTTGTTTTTTTTCTCAAAATTTATCTTTCTATTGTTAGCAAAAACAACGTTTTAAGAAAAACATCGAATATTTTCAGTAATGCAGGAGTATTAAGTAAAGATGCAGTTTCGTCATGGAAGGTTAAATCGAAATACCAAAGGAGGAATTAGCAAAGAAAAGTAAGAAAATATTGATATAGTTTGATCAATTCTATAAATTGATGAATCGAGTTTTCGTATCTATCTTTCTATTGTTCTTGATTTGGGCAAAATAAATTCATCGCTTCGATAAATTAAATCATTCTCAGCAATTAACTTGTGAACATCTTGAATATACTCAAAATTTAGAAAAATACCTTCGATTGTTTTTCATGCTGATACAATCGAATGCATTGGTGCTGAGAACTGTTTGGCATTCATGCCAATGGATCTTTTCTTTTAAACGATTTTGTTTCCTCGATGTATATCTGAACGAATGCAATCTATCGTTCATATTTTATGAGAGATGACTTTTTATCTGAAGTGATATCAATTGAAGCGAAAAACATTTTTCCTAATTGGAAAAAACTTTATTATTCTTCTTGTTCAAAAAAAATCAATAATTGTTTTTCTTTTGTTCTTGTAATTTTTCACTAGCGAAAACGTTCCCAATTGCATTAGTTAAATCACGTTTGGACTTGGATTCGCCAGGATGAACGATTCTTGCAAATTCTAAAATAATCGTATTGATATTTAACAGATGAATATTGAGTGAGAAATGTTCCGAATGTAGGCAATCATTTGAATTTCGTCAAGATATTAAATATTATATTTTATACATACCTACAATTGCTGTAACCTTATTTTTTTCTATTGTTGATATTGTTTTTGAAGCTCGTTCAGCAGCATCAGGGAATAATTCTCGAGTAACATTACGACAAGTTATTGTAGAACTGTCACCTTTGCATTGCTTTAAAAGATCGATATCTAAACCTAACACTTTTGCACATTGTTTTATTTTTTTGCATTTAATTATCTTTTTTTTATTTTTTGCTTTTAAACATTTGATTTCAGTTGTTAAATCTTGATTTTCTTTTTCTAATTTTTCATATTGTTCTAAAAGTTTTCGATATTTTATTTCAAACGATTCATTTGGTGTTTCGTCCTGATTTATTGTTTGAGTTGATACTGATGTTAAATATAATGCTAGCACTTTTCCATAGTCGATCGCTAGACCCTTAAGCTCCTGGTCCAAATAAACTTCAAAAAACCCCTTAATATTATCGTTGTCGATTATTGAGTGTTTTTTCGACGTTTTTCGTTGTTCCGATGACATTTTTAATTTTATTCTTTAGACAATCTCAACAAAAATATGTGGTAAAATAAATCTGGGAAATTTTTATTTGAATGACTCTATTCAAGTATTGTATTATCAAAATTTAGAAGACTTAGCCAATAACAGTTGAGCTCAAATTAATTAGTAAGGAGGTCGCTAATATAAGCAATGAACGATTCAAATTACGTCGATATATCACTCGAAATTACAATAGAATATAGTTTATTACAGGCCCAATCTATGTGGCGACGAAGTGATATTCAAAGTGTATCAGTTTCAGATTTGGAGCTCATATACTTCTTCATCTTTTATATTCTAGTTTAGCAGTTCACCGCTCATTTATACCAATAAAATTTCTACAACTCAATGCTAGAAACGATATTTAGAGGAGGCTTATAGTATAGTAGATGGTACTTTGTCTATTTCATCAAAGCTTTCAAATCTAATAAATTTTCTATTTGATTAATAAAGAGAAAAAGCTTCTCACTATAACGGTAAATATTTTCTATTTATTTAAACTTGATTCATCTCTGTGAAAAGTTTTTTGTTCCTAAATAAAGTTTGTTTGACAACGAAAACGAAAAAGAACAGAATTTTTATTTAGTAAACGATATCAATCGGAAGAAAAAGAAAGACATTGGTAGTCAACCAACAAAAGTAAATAGAAACATCATATCAATTGAATTCCGGTCAAAAGAGAAACGAGGAAACGATGATATTGATGAAATTCATTTCAGAGATTTGATTATCATTTGCTATGATCAAAATCTCGGTGATCCCAGCTTACAAGCATTAAATACCCTAATTCGATCATTTACAGATGCAAAAAAATGTATTCAATATATAAGATGAATGGAAAAACGAATTGATATTTCTAATTATTGGTCAAGTTTTTTTTGGCAAAGCTACTTCTCGATTTGAAACGTCAATATAAACAAATTGAATCGATTTATTTTCTTTGTTTACGTCAATCCGAAACCAAAGAATTATGGAAAGTTTTCAAATTATTTGCAAACTTTCATCATTAATTATTTATTTCAAAATGATTTAAAACTATCGAAAAATGTATTAATTCAAATTAGACCAAATAATAAAGATAAAGATAAAGATTTTTTTTGGTTTTATTTATTTCTTCAATTAATGTTGCAAATTGAGTTTCCAAGAAATTCACAAAAAAAACTGTTTTTTAATCAATTAAAAAGATTTTCATCAAACCGATTGAAAGAAATTATCAATCAAACTAAGCTTCATGGTGGTTAACTCGACAACATAAACGTTCAACTAATACTTTGAATAAAGCATTTCGAATAAAAGCTTATAAATTTCTCTTTAATTATCGATTTTATTTAAAAGATATATCTTTCGAATGAATGAATTTCAATTGAAGCATTATTTGATTATTTATCGAAACAAAACATAAATTTCAAACAAATATCAAAACTTTCCATTGAGAGTTTAATTGTTGTTGAAACATTTTTATTTGCAAAAATTGATTATTCAATTACAAACGATACGATTATTGAGATTCATATTCAAGTTCAAACTGTATATCCATTGGCACGAATTAATGATCATGAAGATACTATATGGTGTTGCCCTTATCCTCGATTATGCTTTTGACGTATTCACTCAAGAAAATTTTCATTTTCCATATAAGAATCTACGAAGAAGAACTTTGTTAATTTAAATCGGAACAGGAAGCATCGAATTAATCTAAATATATTTTCGAAGCGAGATATTCTACGAGAATGAGGTTGCCATCTTTTCCGAGCAGTTCAATGATTAAAAATTGCTTTTTCTTCCACAATTGCGTTCAATTCAACCAAGCTATAATTCTGTTTCCTTACTTATAAGGTTTTGTTGTGCAGATATTTGATCGTTTTTTTTAAGTGCTAAAACATGGATAAAACTTTTATTTTATACATTTTAATATATTTTAATGCATTTTAACGCATTTTAATGCATTTTAACGCAGTTTAATGCACTTTAATGCAGTTAACGCAGTTTAATGCACTTTAATGCAGTTTGATAGGATTTTTATATGCATTGTATCATAGATCGATTAAAGAGAATATCTTCTTTTTCTCAATAATAAAACTATGTATAACAGTTGCGTTCAACGTGGCACCATCTATCGAGCGAATAATGATATAAAAATAGTAATAATTTTTAATAATAAAAAATCAACAATTATTTTTGCTCGTTTTTATATGTTAGAATAAGAAACTTTTTTAGTCAGATTCTAAGCTGACGATTTATTCTAGACGAAAACAAAAGTTCGAACGTGAAATTTCCCATTCTCTGGTCATCGTATCACGTAGTTCACACTATTTTGTCTTCTAAAGGAACAGTTTACTGCTGATCACATCAAAGATAATTTTGTTTTATTTCTAACAAAAAGTACTCAGTTGTCTGAAAATATTCTTCGTTCAAGTTTATTAATTGGCGTAGGATCATTTTTGATCTATTTGCCTTTTCGAATTGATGTTCTTATTTTGTAGAAACATGCTGAAAAAGAAAACAGCTGCCGAATTTTTTGAACGAACTCTCAATGATTGTTGCCAACTCGTTCGAACAATGCAATTATCCGATTTTCTTCCTCAATCAAGGTCGATTTTAGATGTTTTTCAAAATTACCGACAAGCCTACGGCTTGAATGAAACGGCGTTTTTTCTTACATCATTGACAGCCATCGGCCATTTTGGAAATAATTCGGCGACTTATTGTCAAACTTCTAATATATGTACGAAATCAAGTTTATTTCTTGTTATCGTTGGTCCAAGTGGTACGTCTGCGTATAGTATTGTTTTTTTTGTTCTTCAACATGTTCCCATATATGCTAAACTGTAATAGAGAAGTGTTTACGTGGTACTTGACCTATGCTATTGCATAGAAATGTTTAGAGTTTATGCATAAATCTATGTAGATCAATATTTCAGTTATGTGTACGTCGTATGCGTATTGAAAACCTCATTGATTTATATAGCTTTTAATCATGGGAAGGATTTCTAATTTTTTTACTATAATTTAGCATCGAAAAAATCGAAATATGTCCAAAAAATTTATGACTCTGCAACTGTGGCAGAAAATTTTTTAATTCAAATCAAAAATTTAGAAGAACAGATGGCATTAAAAAAGTTTTCATTGCGAATTGAAAATGATAAAACAATCACAATGCCTTTAACAAAAGAAGATCTTCGTAAAATCACATTTATTGAACAATCATTAACATATGCTGAAGCAATGCAATCCTTAACATTCTCAAACTTGTTTCTTTGTGCGTCTGAAGGCGATTTCATATTGGACCAATTAAATTTTTTTAATCAAGCTAATAAAGACAATATGGAAATGCGTGGGTGTGCATCAGCTTTATTTGATGGCCAAACTATTACTCGTTCAACTCGTCAAGGAAAAACTTTTATTGAAGGTAAAACATTATCAATATGTGTTGGTTCAACTGGTTCAAAATGGTCCAGTATATTATTACATTTACATGAAAATTTAACGTCGGATGGTTTTCATCCACGATTTTTATTTTATGCTTTGGAGCCAGCTGCTACAATTGATGGTTAGTGAAAATATCTTTTTTTCAATTAAAATCTAATATTTGAACATTGTGAAACTTAAAAATGGCTAATAAAGTATTCTACAGTTGAAATTTCAATTTTTATGATCATTGAATTATATGTTAAGTTTATTTTCTTCTCGAATAGTATAAAACTGATGAAGAAGAAGGTTTTCGTGGATAAACCGTTTTAATATTCACGGTTGTAAAAATATATCGATATTTCTACAATGTCATCTATGAACAAAAAAATGTTGATATTCACAACAAACACACATTGCTAGCATTTAATATTTGCAAATAGTGCTGATACATTTAACTATTGAATTTTTTCTAGGTCAAGAAAAGGATCTGAATCGTTCACATGCATCATTGGCTCATATTTATGTTATTTGAGGACTAATTGGTGATCGCCTTCAAACATTTACAACTGATGCTGCTGAATTTATTCAACCATATCTCAACTGTTTGAATTCAAATGAATCATGTGCTGATGAATCTCCACGTTCTACAACATCCTATGAAGAAGTTGTTGTACGTCGCGGAGCTGAACTGATCGTTCGAATTGCATCGAATATTCAATATATGACGATTTGTTTGAAAATTATTCGTCTTATTGATCAAGTTGATTTCTATACAATTGATGAAAGCTTTGTTAATCAAGCCAGTGCTATTATAGCTAGCAATTTAGGACCATCAAAACCTTTTTCAATGGGACATAACGCTTTACCAACAAATTTACAGCCAAAACTGATGATAACCAAAGAAACGTGTGAAGAGGCCGTGAAAATTTTCTTCAAAATTTTCATTCCTCAACATTTCACAATTATGAATTACCGTTATCATAATGATACGATTGAAACATCATCTGAACTTGGTTTACAAACTCGAATCTTAAAAGT